GATTACATCTCATCTCTCATTATGATTTGCAAATATTTTATATGATTTAGTTATGAACATTTTTCGAGAACATTAAATATAAATATTGATACAAACATGCATATGTATATAAAAAACAAATACAAAATACACAGAAAAAAAAAAAATAGAAAACAAACTTTCATAATAGCCTAGTTTGGATTTTATTTTCACGTTCATTTTTCAAATTCATTGGCACATCACATTGATCTACGTATTGCTCTGCTATAAAGAGAATTTAAAAAACATATCACAGCTTATCTCACTCTCTCTACTATTTTATTACATAGTTAACTATCCGTTTACTTATTCATAAATTGTGCAATATTTTTTTTTCCTTCTTTTGGTATTTTTTTTTTATCTTTAATATCAAAAACCGCGAACAGTTAAATGACCGTGACTTTGATATTTGCTTATTTGCTTATATTATTTTTCTGTTTATAGTTTTTTTTTCTTTCAGTGTTTATTTTTTTTATGTTTTTCATACATACATATAAGTATGTATTTACAATATGTTATATTAAAAAAAAGAGTGAAAAAATTAACATTTTTTTACATGAGATTTTGAACACAAAATTATTAATTTTTTTCTTGTCACCATTTCCAATATTAGTTATTCTTGAATGAATTTTCAAAGTTTTTTTTTACTATAAAATTTACTACCTATAAAAACAATTTTATTAGTATATAAATTATAGTATGGCTTGGCTATGTGTATTATTGTAAAACAAATCTGAATTATAAAACAAATCAGTACATAACCGATCACCGGCAAGGTGTAGTGGGCAATGTAAATTCGACCCCTAGCTCGAAATCCGTCGCCATATTCTTAAAAAATTTGTAACTTAATTGTTTTAAAGCCCTAATTTTAAATATTAAATTTTCAATAAATTGGTTGACAGACTGATATCTTCCTTAAAGCAGCTTTTTTACGCTTTCCTACCATGGAGAATTGTGTTTCTAACAAAAACTCGACATGCGAAAATATTGGTGTCATCACATTATCTCCCTTATTTTTTATGCAATGCGGTCGGTTTGTACATATGTACATATATACAAAAACTGAAAATATGCGCTTGAGCCCCACTTACTTTTATTTGATGTTAGATACCCTTAATTTATTGCTTATTTTAAATAAAATCATAATTAAAGTGTTTTTTCTCAATTTTCTTTTTCTTTCCGTGTAAGATCATTTTTGTATCAATACTTTAATCAACGTATGACATATGTACATATTTTGTAAATTGTACCTTTATGTATTGAAAACTTAACTTGTACGCATAGTGAAACAAAATTTGTTTATTGTTTCTTTGATTTTTGAAAATTTTAAAAAATTAAGTAATTTATTATTTTTGTTAAAAGCATTTTAAAAAATACTCTCTTTGAACTACTCAAGTAGAACACTTTATTGTAAGATATTATCAAAAATTTATGTATTGTATAACATGTAAGTGTAAGAGTTTTTCAAATCATATACTTTGTACCTATAAATGCATAATATTTCGAAAAAAATCAATGAAGTGTTAAAAAAAAAAATACCCGTAAAACGTAATTATAAAATTTAGATAAAATTTAATTTGCTTTTATCATTTTTATTCCATTCTCTTCCATTGTATTTATAATCGGCTTTATTTAATAAATTTAATATCTGCACAGAATATACGTAATTGACTATTAATAAAAGTACAAAATAATAGGATTTCAAATAAAATTGACTATTATAGCTACATATATGTATATATATATATGTATGTACATATAAGAAAGAATCTTAATTGCTCGTATAGTAGTCAAGCCATCAAATATTTTAAAAATTTTATGGCAAACAATAAATTGTGATCTCGAAATATAAGTGAATACGCAATTAAAATGATATGCATACATAATTGCAGTATAACAGTTTTTGTATAATAAATTAAATTTGAGGAAATTTTAAAATCTCTTTAAAATTAGTTGCAGCCGTACAGAAAAAATGTATTTTTTAAAACATGTATAAAATGTCATCGATTAAAATGCCTACAATGTGCCATCTAGTGGTACTTTTTAGTTACTTGAACTATGCGTTATAAGTCGTTCATCAAAATCTAAAAATCTATTATTCAGTTTTTTTTAATATTAATTTGAATACAATTTCTTGTTTTTTAAACATAATTATTCATAATTTTTTTAAATATACAAAACTTATTGACCTAAATATAAATTAATTTAATATTAACAAAATAGTAGATACATAATAGAAACTCATTAATAATTGGAAATTGAATAATTTTGCTATACCTTTAAAATTAAGAAAATTGGAAATTTTCTAAGTGAAATTATTTATATTTTCACTATTTTAAAAGGTATACGCACAAAATTGTTTATTAAACTTTTTAATTTAGTTGAAATTTATAATAATAAGCCTTGGTCTATTTTCTTTTAATTTTTATATTTGAAAACCTTTTTTTTTTTTATATAAAATAATTACAAAGGTATTTTTCTTTTATATCCCGCACATTTAAATTTTTTACAAAAGAAAAAATAAGATTTTATAATTTTTTTGTTAATTTATTAAAAAAAAATTCAAAACTTTCTTTATGACATTCATTTATTTACTTGCCAGTCAATAAAATTTACAAATTCATTCATTTTCGTTCATTCATTCATTCATTCATTCATTCAAATAGCTATAAAAATAATATTCATTAGTATTTTTTTTCTGTCTTTACAATATAAAAAAAAAATTTACAAAAATTTATTTAAAAAAAAAAAAAAATATATATATATATATATATATATATGCATAATTACAGTTAATCAATCACACAGGTGAGATTTAAAATTTAAATTTTAATAGAGAAAAAAAAAAAAGAAAAATCATTTAATCGATGTCCGATGCTATCAAAATTAATCACATTTTCTTGTCAAAATTGTTTTTTTTCTTTTTTTTTTCGAAAAAAAGTCTACATAAATTCCACTTATTTCTCTATTTTTCTTTTTAAATAATTATGTATTTTAAAATATGGTAATCTTTTAAGTTTTAATAAATTGGGTTTTGTTAATTTCAACCTCTCTATGTCTTTGTAGGCTCTGTATCAAATATCCGTTAATGGAAATAATTAATGAAATTGAAAGATGATCTATTTATTAAAATTTTTATTTTTATATACTAAGTAGGGGATCTTGAAATATTGACTGATAAAATTATTAAAATGAAATAATAATTAAAAAGTTATAAATAAAATTAATAGTTTTAACATAATATGCCCTTTAAAATAAAATAATATATAAGCTTCATATATAGTTTGTTTATTGAAAAACTATGACATAACTCAAAATTTGTACATTTAAAAAAAAACGAGTTTTAAAATGTTGGAATTAAAATTATGTTTGTCTCGCCATAGCATTATTTTATATTTTATTATAACCAACAATTTTTAATTTAGAGGAATGGGGTTTTTGCACAAAAGTGAAATGTTTTTAATGTTTATCTCTATTTAATTAACTCAGAAGTCACTGTTACAACAAACGCACTTTAGTTTCATTTATTAACCAATTTAATGGATTATAACCATTTACAAAATATAAAAATTATTTGTTTAATCTTAATAGTAATTTATCGTACTTAAAAGTTTTCTGCAGAGACGACGTCGAGGCAATACGGTTTAGCAAATTAACAAAAGTTTTCAAATAAATTAAAAACAAAAATTACAAAATAATAAAGTTAAAATTCGAAATGGCTATAAATTTAACTTTTGGTTAATTACATATTTCAAATAATTGACCAATTATATTAAGTCTAAAGTCATAGTTAACAATATAAAATTTAATTTGATAGATTATATTAATTATAAAATTGTTAGGTATTCAGAATCAAATTATTATTTAAATTATGTAAAGTACTTAATACAATGTCATAACCTACATATATTTTACAATGTGATTAAAGAAGCATAAAATAGAAAATCAATTCATAATACATTATTCTCTTATAGATGAATATCTCGAACCATTAGGAAAAAAAATTGAAATAATTAATTTAATGATGTGGATGAAGACAAAAATTTACTTTTTAACAACAATTGAATTTTGAACATATTTAATTATTTATTTTTCTTTTTATTATTATTTTCAATTACTCACGATTATATTACATATTATATAATAATTCGAGAATATTGACTTTGAACGAAATGAGAATATTTCCATAATTATTAAAAATTCAAAAAAGAAAATCTTAAGGTCTTGCAATTTTTATGAATCTCCACAAAATTTGATTATTTTATTTTAAAAATTCATTCTTTTAAACACAATAATAATTAACAACAATAATGAAATATAACACCTTTAAAATTAATTAAAAATTAAATAAATAAATCTTAGAAAATTCTGTAATATAAGAAATAACAATGCACCACATTTTAAAGAGAATACAATAGAAATATTGTTTTTAATGTTGGTTATTTTTTTTTTCTGTTAAATTAATTTCAAATCTTGAAGACAAAAAAAAATTTACAAAAATTTTTATGTAAAAAAAACGCGTTCGCCAAAACAAAAACTGTCATTGAACTTTAATCTTAGTTTAGGTTGTTTTTCATTTTTTCTTTTTTTTTATTTAATTTTTAATTTAATAGAATTTAGTAAGGTTAGTTATTGCCTTCTCTTCCAGTTTCCACTGTAACTGAACTGAATTAAGAAGAAAAGCTTAATTGTTATTTTTGTTTTTTTTTTCAACATAATTACGAGCAATTTAGACCTTCACGTCTATTTCTTTAAACTTTTTTAGTTTATTTTATTACTCATAATTCGTTTTTTACTCATAATGCTATTTAAAAAAAAATACAAAATCTGAAGTGCGTAACCTTAACCTTATTACTTTTTTTATTCAAAAGCAAATATATATGTATAATCGTACATATATGTGTACATCTACACATATTTTCATATATTTTAAAATCTTAATAATACTAAATAATTTGTTCTTTTTATTTTTTTATTTACAGATCAGATTCTTTTTGGTGTTGTAAGAAATAACTAATTGTATTTTTTAAAAGTAAAAGTTCACTTCCGCAAAAATACCTTAAAAAATATCTTAAACCTCGGATATTAAGAAACAGTATGAAAATGGTGTTGTCGCAACGGCAGCGCGAGGAACTGTAAGTACAAATATTTTTTTTTTTTATATTAGAATGAATAAGTAAATAAAAATTTTATATTTTATTAATTTTTTTTTTATTGTTTTTATTTTAGTAACCAAGCGATTGCCGATTATTTGGGCACTAATGGCTATTCAGATGCATTAGAAGCATTTCGTAAAGAAGCTGATATTAATGTTGAAACTGAAAAGAAATATGGAGGCTTATTAGAAAAAAAATGGACATCTGTAATACGCTTACAAAAAAAGGTGATGGAATTAGAGGCAAAATTACAGGAAATTGAAAAAGAAGCAATCGAAGGGGCACCAACAAAAGCAAAACGAAGTCCTGGTGAATGGATACCAAGACCACCAGAAAAATATTCTGTAACAGGGCATCGAGCAACTATAACAAGGGTAAATAAATAAAAAAAAATTTAACTACGGGTTTTTTTGTAAAATCAACTGATATTTAAAATTTTTGAATTTTATATTCCATTCGTTACTGAACTTTAGCCAGTCATTAAATAATTTTATAATAAATTATGAAAGATTTTATAAAAATATGATTATACGAGTATTATCAATATATTATTCTTCACTTTGATGTTTCCAAAGCTCTAATTGCTGATAATCATAAAAACAATTTGAAAATAATCAAACTACATTCAAAGTAATTTTTTACAGCAAGTTTTGAATTGCAAATAGTCACAAAGTTTAAAAATCTTTCAATCGCAGCAAATTCAACAAAACAAAAAAAAAATTTGCTTTCAACAAAAAGTTGTAAAAAATAACATTGTCTGGTGATTTAATTAATGTTCTGATAGCCTTAAATATTAAGATTGAATTTAAAAATTCTTGATTTTGAAAAAACGTTTGTCCTATTATATAATCTAAATTTTTTTATTATCTATTTCAATTCAATTACTTATTTGAAAGTTTCTCCCAAAATTTGCACAATTGAATTACTACATGTACCTACAACATGTATTAATCATATTAATATTTTAAATTTTTATATATGTTTATAATATTGATTCATTATAACACAACTTAAGCAATATTGATGAATTTTTTGTTTGCTCTCTTCCTTTTAGGTACTATTTCATCCTATTTTTAGTCTAATGGTATCCGCATCAGAAGATGCTACCATAAAAATATGGGATTTTGAAACAGGTGAATACGAAAGAAGTCTTAAAGGGCATACTGATTCAGTACAAGATATCGCTTTTGACGCTCAAGGAAAATTATTAGGTAAAATAATCAAACAAAAAAAAAATGTAAATGCATATTCGAAATAAAATGAAATTTTAAAAATATTATAGCATCCTGCAGTGCTGATCTTTCAATAAAATTATGGGATTTTCAACAAAGCTATGAATGTGTTAAAACGATGCATGGACATGATCATAATGTTTCGTCAGTCGCATTTGTACCAGCAGGTGATTTTGTATTATCAGCATCACGTGATAAAACTATTAAAATGTGGGAAGTTGCTACAGGGTAAAAAAAAAAAATTTAATATTAGAAATTCAATTTTTATAAAAATCCTTTTATTTTTCTTTTTAGTTATTGCGTGAAAACTTACACAGGCCATAGAGAATGGGTTAGAATGGTAAGGGTTAATATTGATGGTGGTTTGTTTGCCTCATGCTCAAATGATCACTCAATTCGAGTGTGGTTTACAAATTCAAAAGACTGTAAGGTACGTTTTTAAATAATGAATTAGATAAAACTAAATGTACTCTAAGTATTTACCTTTGAATTATATGTAAATGCATTTATTGATAAAGTATTTTATATTGTAGGTTGAATTGAGAGACCATGATCATACAGTTGAATGTATTGCCTGGGCCCCAGAGCATGCATCATCAGCGATTAATGAAGCAGCTGGAGCTGATAATAAGAAAGGACATCATCAAGGACCTTTCCTTGCGTCAGGTTCAAGAGATAAGACAATTCGAGTAAGTTTTAAAAACATTTTATATGAATTTGAATTTATATAATTTATATGTATATATATATATATATAATTTTTATCATTTTTAGATTTGGGATGTTAGTGTTGGTGTGTGTCTGTTTACATTAACAGGACATGATAATTGGGTAAGGGGAATATCATTCCATCCAAGTGGAAAATATATGATTTCAGCTAGTGATGATAAGACAATTCGTGTATGGGATTTACGTAATAAACGATGCATGAAGACATTGTATGCTCATCAACATTTTTGTACATCAGTTGGTAAGAACCTTAATTTAAAATATTCAAAAATATTCTTAATATATAGTCGGGTTAGGCTATTCGAGCTCATAGAAAATCTTTTTTCTTATAAATTTAATTTTATTAGCCATAGATTTTAGAAGTATAATAAAATTTTTAACGAAATATTCTTTAAAAAAACATAATTTGTTAAAAAAACATGCAATTTATTGATTTCAATAAGCAGCGAATATTACTAATTGTATTTTATTTTTTTTAGATTTTCACAAAACACATCCGTATGTAATATCTGGCAGTGTAGATCAAACCGTTAAAGTATGGGAGTGTCGTTGAACATCTCTTTGTTTCTATATTCAAGATAGATTTTAAAGAAAATTTAAACAAAAAAGGAACATAATTTCTAAGTAAAATTAAATAAACAGAAACAACAAAAAAAAAACCATACCTATTTTTTTATATATATATATATTTTTTTTTGTTTTATTTATTTATATTTAATGAAAAACAGTTTCAAAGAGAAAAAAAAACATAAAATTTAAAAAAAAATTGAATCTGAAATTATTTTTAAAAATTATTTTTAATTTAAAAGCAAAAAAAAAATGGAAAAATTGTACTCAAGTAGAAAACAGTTTCAGTGTAGTTTTTTTCATTTTTTTGTTTTTATTTTTAATTACAAAGTAAAAATAAGAAAAACTTAGAAAATAATTTAATATTAATTAAATAAATATATGCCTTGCCACCTAAATTATTTTTCAAAAAAAAAAGGAAAAAAATATTATATATGTTAAATTCGTGAAAAAATTGTAAATCATTTTAAAAAGTAAAAATTCAGTTTTTTTTTTCAATTTTGTTTCTTTACGATTTAATTTAACTATAAATTGATTTAAATTGTAAAAATATTCAAAGAAATTTTTGTGTTATTTTTTCTGGCATATTATGAGTGCATCAAATTTTTAAATCTAAATTTTTTTAAATAAATTTTAACTTCATTTTGTTGGAATTAGAATAATTTTACTTTTCTAAATATATGTAGTTTGTATTCAGTAGTTTTTTTTTTCGTTAAAATTATATATTTATGAATATCTCATCAACTTACCATTCCGTTTCTTAATAATTTAAAATGCTGCAATACTTACTACATATTAAAAAATATATTTAATATGCCATAAAATAAACCATTGATGTTGAATTTCTTTTGTTTATAAAACATTAACTTGGAAATTAAAATATAATCCGGAATTATTTAAATTTAATTTTCTATCGAATAAATATTTTGTTTTATAAAATACATTTAAACAAAAAATATTTTTCATGGAAAATTTAATATATAATTTTATGACAAATGTAAAAACACATAATAAATTAAATTAAAAAAAAAAGAGATATTAAATTATTAAAATATAATACAATAAAAAACCCTTAAAAAAATCAAAAAAATTTAACACATAGTAAAATTAACAATATTCAAATGATATGAAAGAAAAACAAAAAAATAATAAAAGGGGTTGACTGAAAAATGGTCAGCATTGAAATATTTTTGTGTTTTAATTTTCGTATTGTAATTTCTTGCAGAAAAAAATAATAAAATGTTTTTTTATTAAATACAAAAAATTGTATACTAAAAGAATTTTTACATAAATTATTTTGTAAATTATGAGTATTCTGAGTCACTTGTTCAAATAAACTTATAAACTGTTAATATAAAATTAAAACTTTTTTTTTTATTTTTTTCTAATGGTTAGTCAAATTTTTTCAAATATTTTTCTTATAAAAAATTAGAATACTTATAAACATATGTACATTTTATAACGTCAACCCTAAATAATTAAATTAATAGATGATGAATACATTTTAAAATATTACTTTAAAAAAATAATCGAGAACTTACAAAAGAGACATTAAGAAATTTGTATTAAATTCGTTTTATCCATTTAACTTGCAAATAAAAATTTTAATCTGCAACAAACTTTTAATGTATATACATTTTACAATTTATGTATTATCAATAAATAAAAATTATGAAAAATTAAAAATTTTCACCCAAAATTTCCAGTATATAAATTTTATATGGTCACTTTCAAATTTTAAACTAAAATATCCTGAATTTCTAAGAATAAACAAAATAAAAAACATTAAAATATTTATCTATATTAAATCTGTATTATGGACTTCAATTTAAAAAAAAAAATTATTTAAAAATTTTTTTAATAATTTTGATGTATTCAAAATGTACTATAATTCAAAACAAATTTGCATTATAATTTTCAATGTTGAATTCAAAGGAAAAAAAAAATATTTTGTATATAAAGAAAGAAATAACTTATTCCTTTACTTAGCATGAAAGAAGGAATATTTTATTCCTTTTACTCATTTTATTAAATTTCGCCTTATTTAAAACACACTGTATTGTAAATAATATATATATATATATATTAAAATATTTTTTGGTTATTGAAAAAAAGATTAACTATTATAAGAATAATGAAAAATATTTATTCTCGTAATTCCATTTTAAAGCTTTAATTGGCTAAAAAAAAATTTTAAACAATTTTTTTTTAATTTTAAATTCATCGAAATAGAACTTGGGGATGAAAAAAGTCAAGTTGAACTTAAAATTAGGAGGAGTTTAATAAATTATTCATATTTACATTATTTACATAAAATTGCATCAATTATTCAATATAAAATTTGAAAAGTTTTACCGATAAAAATTATATAAAATAAAAACGTATTTATCAGGGATTTTCGATGAGTATATTATAATTATATTATTTAGAAAAATAATTACATATAAAATATTTTCATAATATTTTTGTAAAAATATAAAAAACATAATATAAAAAACTCCTATAATTTTATTAAGTGCAATGTAAAAACTAATAATGTGACAATTAATTTTAAGAAATTTTAATTGAAAACGTAAAAAAAAAATTAATCCATTTTACGCATCCGTCAAACGATTGATATTTCTTTCTAAAATTTTTTTTTTTTTTTAAAGTGCTTTGGAATCCTAACTCAACCCTTACATTAAATAAATAAAGAGAGAAAACATATACCCATATTCCGTTAAACACATTACTTGGGACGGTGGGATATAATTCCAAAAGTTTTGAATATTTATACCAAATCACCTCAAGTGATGCGTCTAAAAGAAAATGGGTAATTAGTTTCTTTTATAAGCTAAATAACATTTACATACACATTATGGAAAACAAAAACATACATATATATTATAACACTTAAAAAAAAAAATAATAATTTCAAAAAAATAATAGAACTTATAAATTATATCAATTAAAAATAACCATCGCTTTTATAATAGAACATCCATAAATATAACCTTAATAAAATAAATATTAATAAATTTAATATATTTAATATATACATAGCTTAAATATTCAAAATTAAATTATTAGAAAAAGAAGAAATTTCTGAAATAAAAATTTTAATTTTTTTCAAAACTGATTAATATTTTAATTTTATTTTTTAACTTATATAAGACATTCAAGATCTCTTTTTTTTTGTTTGTTCAAATATAATAGATTGATCCAAGTCAAAACTTTTGAAAATAAAATCTAAATGAGAAAAACAAATTTCAACATATTGTAACAAATGTAATTAAAATTTAAATTTCAATAAAGAGTCATAAAATTAAATAATGTATGTATCAGTATTAGAAAATTTAATATAAAGCCATAATATTGTAGTTTTATATTCAGAAACAAAACAGTATTACAAAATATAATTCGCAATGTAAAACTTTACTTAATTAATTAAAATTAATAAAAACAAAAAAAAACATCAAAATTAAAATTTATACAAATTAAAATTATCATTTAATTGTGTAAATTAAATTTAAATTAATAAAGTCAATTTCACTGTTAATAATCTTAAACGAATATATTAGTCAATAATAAAAATTGTCTGCGAAAAGTAAAACTAGAAAAACAATGATATTTTTCAATTTCAGATAAATCATAAAAACAAAATAATTCTAATCATAAAATTAATTTAGTATTCATCAAATATTTTTTTATTATTGATAACAATATCAAATATTCAATATGTGAATATTTTTAAAATTTACTTTTCCAATTATATAATTAATTATAATACCAAAAAAAAAGTAGAAAGTAGAAAATTAGATACATATATTTATAGAAATTTAACTTTCTTTTAATGTGTTAAATCAAATGACGTTACAAGAAAATTATTCACGTTAGAAAATGTAACATTAAAATTACATTTTATAAATAATAATATTAAAAACGTTATAGGGATCATGTAATGAACTATAAAATTGAGATCTTGAAAATAATCTGTTTAAAAAGTTAAAAAACAAATTTATATTTCATTTTAATAAATATATTTTATATAACTAAAATAAAGCTATAAATACAAGAAAAAAAAATATAAAAGTATAAAAAAAAAACAGAAATTTAAAATATTTAAAATTATTATTAAATGTATATTTAAAAAAAACTATTGTGGCTTTATAAAAATACTTAGAAAAAAAAAATTCAGGAAAGTAATTTGTTTTTTTAAAAAACTACTATTTTTGATAAGTTTTTCCGATGGTAATTTAAAAAATAAATTCATTCTTTTATTATTATTAAATACATTAATTTTTCAATTTTTTTTCCTAATTAAACAGATTTTTAATAATTATTTTGAAAGTATTTTTTAAGAGGGTTTTTATTTTTTGTTTTAAATTTTTGTAAAAAGAAAAATATTATTGTAAATTTTGGTTTTTTTATTTTAATTACATATATTTTTTTTCTTTCTTAATCTGTACATTATTACAAATTTTTAATTTATAAATTTTTTGATAAAATGTATTTCTTTTTTCATTAATTTTATTATTATAATATTAATAAAGTTAAGCAACGGGTGTATGTAAGTTATTTCTTATATATGTTCACAACTTTTTTTTTAAAATCAAAATATGGAAATATTCTAATAATGTGCCAAATTTTGAATATTTGGTACACAACACGAATTTTCGATAAATTGTGTATAAAAATAACGATCAATAATAATATTATAGAAGCATTTGCTAGAAATTGCATATATAGAATTATGTAACTTTTGTGATTTGTAATTGAAAAATTTACCATCATTATTGATCTCATTACAAAAGAAATTTATTCGAATATTAAAAATATATTTAGGATATTAAGAAATCTGTTTCTCTAATAAAAGAAAAAACAGATCTTAAATCTTAAATTAAATCGAGAATAAATTCTTTGGAGATCACTTAAAAAAAAATTATTGTATTTTGTATATTTAAAATGTAAAAAAACATTTTAAATTAAATTTAAAAAAAAAATATAAAAACTTATATAATATATAAACTAAAATATGTTGTTTCATCACTTTTATTAAATGTTAATACACTGCTTTTGTATTAAGTAAATTTTTTTGTTTTTTATAATATTTGCTTAATTGATCAAAATCATAACTTAAATTTTAAGTGTGTGTACGAATTACAATAGAGTACGTCATAATTCTTTTAATCATCTGTCAAAAAAAAATCATAAGTTCTTTTACATTTTGTTAAGACAAGAGCTTAGGAAATTATTTTTATGAATGAAATTAATTAAATTTAAAATAAAATTAATTTTCTATTGTATTCGTACTAAAAAATTATGACAAAACAAAACAAAAACTGATGACTTCTATAATGTAAAATTGTACACGCCCTAATGTGACATAACTATTAATTGCGTTCATTTATTTAATAATTTATTATTATAATAATAATAGTAATAAAGAATAAAATTAAAAAAAAAAATTTATTATTATATTTGTATTATAATTTTCAATTTATTATAATATTTAATTAATTTAAATATAATGTTAATTTCTAATTTTTTATAGGATTAATTAGAATTTTGATTTATAATTTTTTTTTAATTTTTAATATTATGATTTCATAAATTTTTTTTTTAATATTCAGATTATTATATAATAATTATAAACTTTAATAATTAAAAAAAAACCCAGAAAATAAGGATTTTTTTTATTTTAAATTTGTATTTTAATATTTATTTGAATAAAAAAAGAAGACAAACACATACATAAGTAAAAACAAAAAACAGAAAAAAAACGATAAAATAAAATTTATTGGAAGGTTTATATTAAGATTATATAATTAATTATTACTGTGTTTTATGATTAATTTAGCAAAAAAAAGATAAAAATTAAATATAAATGAAAACAACAAGTAAATATAATAGAATTATAAATTTAAAAATGGAAAACAAAAAAAAAACAAGATATTTAAAAATTTATTGATTTGAATAAAATTAATTATAATACAGAAGAAAAAAAAGGAAAAAATAAAAAAAAAATTACAAAAACTGTAAATATATTAGTTTATTTTTGATCAGAAACACTAATTAATTCAAATGTCCTGTGCGCATAATTACATTTATTCATTCATGCCTTAATATGATGGCTTTCAGAAAACAATATTAACTTTACTTGCCTAAACTGCTACTATTTACTTTATTTAATAACGAACAAGCAAATTCCAAGTTATAAAACGAATTGAATCAAGAGGTAGTCTTTCGCTGTTTGGGAAGAATTAAATAGATAAAAAGTTAGTAATAACAATAATTATATTAAATTTATAATTATTAATAAATTATAAGTGAAATTACCATTTTTATTTAATAATAAATGAATATAGGAATTTCCGACAATTCAGTTCTAACTTAGGTTAGAAGTGACTCTGCAAAAAGATGAAGTTTGAAAATGACAGTTGCGATGAAAGTTAGAACTACAACAAAATTATTATAAATTGGAAAAAGAGTAAAAAGGAAGAATATTAGAATATTGAAGAATTTACATAATCGAGTAAGTTACAAATCAAAAATTGAAATTCATATTTAGTTTCTGCATACATATTTGTAAGTATGTATAAAAAGATTTCTGAAATTTAATTTATCGGTGCATATTTTAATTATCTTAAGTAATAATAATATACATTTATCAAGTATGCAACAAAACTCATTTCAATATTAATTCAAAACAGAATTTTCTATACTTTTGCAAATTTGAGCCCTTCTTCTTCTTGTCTTTCACATTTCATATCCTGATTTTTTTTATTTTTAAAAAAGCCGGAAGCTTGAATTTTCAGACATTTTTTCGATTTTTTTTTTGGTTATTAAATTTCTGTCCGCTTAAGTCATATGCATTTTACATTAATGCGGGTGTTATTTGCAAAAATACATGTCAGTGCATTTAGTTGTACTTTTTATGTAAAGTAAATAACATCGAAATTCTATGGAAAATTGTTTTTATCTTAAAACACCAGTGTAGTAATTATTTTTTTTCGAAACCAATTATAAAAAAAGAATATTTCATACAAGTTTCATTTGTATTTCATACGTAAATGCTTTAGAACTACATTGAGATTTAAATTATCCCAACAAAATCTAAAAGAGAATGGGAATTTTTCATAACTACACTATTTTTTATTAACAAAATATTTCAATTTGGGGAACAACTTCAAGTTGTTGAGCTTCACTTTTGAAGAAGAATTCAAAATTTCTTAACCTAATTATTGGTTTTGGTTGGTTTAGTAATTCGTATTTATTGCAAATTTTAAAATTACAAGTTAAAATACAAGTAAGTTATTAATTAGGAAATTAAAACTTCTAATCAAGCACAATAAAGACTACAAAAAATTCTGCTAAAAAAATCATTTTTACATAAAAGTTAATGAACTTCAAATTTTCTCAAGATTTTTATTTTAGTAATTGGCTGCAAATAAACCTTTATATTTTATACCTTTACATAAGAAAGAAAAAAAAAGATTAAAATGCAAAAACCACATTATGTCTCCTATGGTAAAAAAACAATGAAAATTTAAACAAATCTGGAGGTTAGTAGTAATGTCTCTTCCATTTAATAATTTTTACACTAAATTAATCTTTCGAATATACTTTACCACAAAATTAAGGTAAAAAATGAAAATATAATTCTATAGATCTGAAGACAGCACAAAAAAAAGACTTATGAAATTTGAGCCAACAAAAAAATATTGAAAGTAAAAACAAGTATAGGAAATTTTTAGTGATCATTAAAGATAAAAACCTTTATGGCTACCCTAATTGCTTAAATCAGAATTAGTACAGATATATAAGGCCAATTGTTATTTATGTTGAACATCTAAATTTTGATTTTATTGATTTTTTGTTTTATTATTTTTTTTTTTATTTTGCCACAAGGGGTAATTTCCTTGTTTTTAGATTCTTCCTCTTATAAGTTTTTATACATGTAAATTTTCTTATAATTGTTACTGTTGGAACTTGAAGACGTAAATAAGAAAATTTCAAGTTTATAATGGATGGGATCGTGTATCTCACTGTTTTACTCGCCAAGTGAGAAGAGAAATGAATGGGAAGAATTTTTCAGTATTGCGTCTCTTATTTTTTCTAAAATCTACGCAAAATTTAAAAATTATTTAATCTCTTTTTTTTTTTTAGAAGGTGTTCAGTCGAAAATTTCAAAAATTCAATTGAAAAAATTAATAACCTAAATTATTGGAAAAATGAAAAATCAATTAGAAAAAAGGCGAATTCTGATTTGAAAGTGAATTAAAAAATGAGATGAAAAAGCGAAGTCCGTGATTATGTTGAATATATTGTAATTATTAGACATGTAAGTAAACTAAAAATTTAAAATTTATTTGGCTTATTAATCGATAACAAATACATAATCATTGCAATCAATGTTATTCAGTTGTTGCTTAACAAATAAGTATTTATAATTTTAGGGATTAAATGACAAAAAGCCAAATGGATTCAAATGAATATTTTGCTCTTTAATAATTAATAAATAAAAAATTTCTTAATATTAAATATTAAAATTATATTTCAAAATTCGCAAATGTATGAAGAATATCCTACAATTTTCAAGAACAATTAAAATGCTTTCAATTTCCTTAATTTTTTATATTTGAATATATCGTTACGTTAATGTGCTCTCGTAATTGTATCGGATTACATTCATTCATTAAAAAAAAAAAAATTATTGAAAGGGTAAATATGGAAGTAGAATTCTAAAATATTTGTAAATCAATAACTGAATCAGTAGGTGATTAAATGTTG